CTTTTAAAAGGACAAACATTTTCCCCATATATATATATAGAGAAAACATTTTCTTCTTTTTAAAGGAGAAAATATTTTCTCCTACTAGTGACTCATAGCATAAGTGGGTCCCACCTTGATTTTTTTTTCTCTCTACTATTTTGTAGGCCCCACTTATACTATGAGTCTTTAGTAGGAAAAAAAATTTCTCCTTTAAAAGGAGAAAATATTTTCCCATATATATATATAGGGTATATACCCTTTTTGGTCCTCAGCAAACTTTACAACGCCCGTTTTAGTCCCTAGAAAATAAAAAGGCACATCTTAGTCCCTAAGAAATTCAAAATGGACTCATTTAGTTGAAATTTTGGTCCCTCACAAATTCAAAAAAGACCCATTTTAGTCCCTAAAAGGACTAAAATGGGTCCATTTTGAATTTCTTAGGGACCACGATGAGCCTTTTTATTTGCTAGGGACTAAAACGAGTTTCATGAAATTTGCTGAGGACCAAAAATGGTATTTACTCATATATATATATATATATATAGGGTAGGGATCTTTTGACTCTAGAGTAAGACTTACAACTCTTACTCCTTATCTCAACCGTTGATTTTTTTCCATCTAACGGTTATCTATACTAATTAATTAACTACTAATTTCAAATAAATAATAACAGTTAGATGGACGGAAATCAACGGTTGAGATGGAGAGTAAGAGTTGTAAGTCTTACTCTAGAGTCATATATATATATATATATATATATATATATATATATATATATATATAGATGAAATATTGTATTTACAAAATTTTTGTTTACAAACTCTACTATGCATTCCCGGAAATAGTCTCGGCTAAAAATGCATTACCGTGAATGCATAGTGTAGTTTGTAAACAAAAAATTTGTAAATATAACCTACCCTTATAACACTTATTCCAGAAATCATGGCTATTAATTCTAAAAAGTAGAAGTTCTAAAATAAAGAAAGGCACAAACCTAGACCGAAAAAAGAGGAGAGAAGAATCAACCTCAAGAATAGTGTAAAGCAACCATCTCACCTAACAATTTAAGCTTGTAAGTGATAGGTCTTCACTGTTGTGAAGTCACCTTGGCTTTAATATCATTAAAACAACCATTTCGCCTAAGAGCTGAACCTGTTAGGTGAAGGTTAATTAATGATTTTATATTATATTTATCTAACACAGCCCCTCCCACAAGAATCTATTGGGCTTGAAAGGGGATAATGAATAGGCCTCGCTTATCTATGCTTATAAACTTCACACTTTTAATTATTTATTAATAGAGCGTGGATGGTGAGGATCAACCCATGATCACTTAATCATGCAGACTCTGATATTATGTTTTCAACCCAGAAATTTAAACGGTTAAGTAATGGGCATTCAATGTTTTTATATTACATATCTCTAACAAATGTAAACGTTGATGTGAATGTGTGAGGATGTAATGCATGTGCAATGGTGCTCCGATGTGATGCTAATGTTGTGCGATCAAAAAGGGTTAGGAAAAAAACTAGAGTTAACTAGTAGATAAAAGACTTATAACTTGCAAGTTATTACAAATAATTAGGGATGTGCAAAATAACCAAAAGAACTGAACCGAACACTAAACTAAATTTAACTGCACTTAAAATAACTGATTTTTAAAAATGAGTTCATGAACCGAACTGGTTTTTAAAACCAGTTCAAGAACCGAACATCTTTTCAATTGAACCGAACCGAACCGAACCGAACCGAATCGAATTGATTTTTATTACTTTATTTCTTTAATTTTTTAATTTTTTTTCAAATTAGGGTCAACCCGAACTGGTTTCGAACTTAACTGAATTGTTTCCAGCCGAATCGAACCATTTTCGAACCGAATCGAACCGGTTTTAAAACGAACCGAACCAATTTTGAATCGAACTGAACCGTTTTCAAATTGAACAATTTAAACCAATACAATTCGGTTCGTCAAGAAAATCAATTTAATTCAACGCATACACATTCCTACAAATAATTGATACTAAATAAATCGGACTTAAGATTTCAAATAGGCATGCGGCCTATTTTTTAAATAGGATTATTATTTTTTTAACCTAAACCTACTTTTTTTAACTATTTAAACAGAGTTAATTCTAACCTGAGATAAACCAACTTTTACATCCCTGATAAGGGGCATGACATATTACTTAAATCTCTAGTTATTAGTACAATTCCAGAATATATGGGTTGAATTACACTATTTTTTTTCCTTAAAAATTCAATCATAGTTAAAACATCATTCTTTTTTTCTTACTAAAGATTCACCGAAGAGCTTGTTACCTTTGTTATACGAAACTAATGGACAAAGTTGTGGGATTGTGACGTCTTGGCATCCCCACAAATGACTCGGCTTTAGCTGTTTTTTGTTTGACATGTGGGAATACAAAGATTCGTAAGTCATAACCAAGAACTAACTAAACCATTATATTTGATTTGCCTTTTTAAAAATAAAAATAAAAAACCCCAAATTTACGACGTTTAAAGTTATGTTATCGACTTAGTGGATTCGCCATTTAAATTAACTAAGGTTTCTCTCCTTTAATTTTTATATATGAATTTCAATTATTGGTGGATAGATGACTCAGCTACGCACACACTTTATATCTGCTGCAGGGGTTTGTAAAGATCAAACTTCTTTTTCCTTAGTCCGATTTAGTTTGGCTAAGAATAATTTTTATAAAGAAACAATTCAACCCTTTAAATTGATCCCTCGAGTTTATTGGACTTGAAAGGTGAACAATACACATGCCCATTCATCTGTATGAAAAAATTTCACAAGAGAAAATAGGAGATGGTAAGGATCGAATAATTCGGGACACGAGATTCTGATACTATGTAAAAAATTAATTCAACCTAGAAACTTAAGTTGATGAGTGAGACTACATATTAATGGTTTTATATATATGGAACAATGTTGATTTGTTGTTTGTAAAGATTTCAGAGAATTGAATTTGGACGAACAAATAATGGGAAATCAAAAGGTACATTCCTTCATAAAAAAAAGGCAAAACAAAGGGACACAGTCAATTAAGATATAGAGTATTTTTTATTTCCCTGTGCCAAAAAACGATTGGTACTTTACTTCACTAAGAAGATGTTGCTTATACTTGTACTTGCTTTGATCATCACTTACTTTTTTCCACGTAACTATAGATTGTAAGAGATTCCCTCCCTAGCTAGAAAATTGAAAAGAAAAGAAAAGTCCCTATATATTGCATATTTGCATGTGGTTGAATTCCTTTGCTTAAGACAGCAGCAACAAAAGCAATATACTTTGTAGGTGGTAATCCTTTAAACGAGTGTCTTGTAGTTCTATGCATGGGTCTCACCTCTCTATCTTAATGCATCTAAGCAATCATTTCCATTTTAACTGGTTTTGCCATCTTTCTTTCTGTTTGTGTGCGTGGAGCCTCCTACCAATCATGTGTCATATTTTCCTTCTTTGCCAAAGTTTGCTGTGCCTTGCTTACCAAAAAATACATAAGGAAATGCAAGTTATGCTTAACGCATAAGAAACTTTGTGAATTCTGTTAATTGAGAATGCAATCATTTTATAGGCCCATAAGAAGGTTCGAACTCCGAATCTAAAGTTTGATATTGTTGGACCTATTTTTTATTAAATTAATATTTACATTATTTACTTAAAGAAAATTGCTTCGTTATAGTGTATCAATTTATCACAATGCAATATAAACCCAAGGAAGGAGTTCAAAGTTCAATACGGCTGACAATATATAATCATTGAAGAATCAAGAATGTTCAAAATGTTAATAAATTATTCGTTGTGAGGTATTAATTATAACTATTTATGCAATCATGGACTATATATAATATGACTTTATAATCGAAATTAATCTTATTAATATAAGCATTTTGAATATACATATCCCTTTATTTTTATTTTCTTTAGAGCCGGTATAAATTCTCTTTTTTAAAATTAAAAGTTACTTTTAAGTTAAAGTTAAAAAAAAGAGCTTAAAAAAAAATTAAAAATTATCTGGTGATTACATAAAAATTTTTGCTTAAAATTTTCTTAAAAGCTCAAATCTCATTTCAAGAAAAACTAATAAAAGTTTAAAAAAAACTCCTCCTAGAAGCTTTTGTCTTTTGGCTTTTTTCTTCATTATTAAAAAAAACTATTTTTATTATAAGAGTTTTTGTAAAAACCTGTTTGAGCTAGCTTCTACTTATAAGGAGAAAAAAAGTTAAAAAAAGAGAGGATCCAAACAGGCACTTAGTATATATAGTAGGAGACAATAGTCAAGTAAATGTAAAGAAAAAAAGTCAATATTTTTTAAACATAAAGTATTTATAATTTTGCCAGCAAAGGTAGGCATAGTTGGCTAAGGGTTGGGCCCACACCCCCACAAAGACGTGGATTCGAACTCCGCTGGCCGATGTGATAACTTTTTTAGTGGGTGGTATGCAATTTCTTTTTGAAATTTTCAAAGAGGTTAGGTTCTTCCCTAACCCTAGTGGGATATCAGTATCTAACCCCACTTAAATTTTTATGTACAAAAAAAAAGTGTATTTATAGTTTTTTAAGTAACTCGGTATGAGTTTGGATTCATCTATCTTTTTTAGGAGTGTATCTTTTTATGTTAAAAATTCACATCACATTGTCATATGAAATTTTTGTATGTAAGTATGTAACTCTCTCTTCTGCATTAAATAATTAGAGTCCAATTATAATTTATCGATATTAATGAAGAGAGAGATACATAATTAATTAAATAATTAGAGTCCAAATTTTCATATAGATAATTAATTTATTGAGTAATCAAATCTTCTCTTTTATTTTTTTAAGAGCATCATTAATGGTCCACGGCCCAGAAAGCGTTTGTCTTGGTATGGTTGGGCCCAATATAACTCGTTATTAGGCTTGGGCCTTTAAAATTGTGAGTTCGGCTTAATGGGCCATCGTATTTGGTTTATCTTACTTCCCCTCGTTTTGGCGGTCCTAAGGTTTTAGCGTTTTAGGTTTTAGGTTTTGTCGCGTCAATTGTTTCGCTTGGAACTGTGGCATTAGGGTTTTTGTGAGAATCGTTATAGATTTCAATTTTGGGGATCCCACACTTCTCGCCTTCTAATTTTCTCCATGGATCTTTCAGACCTTAATTCAGCCGAAATGCAGAGATTCTACTCGGTAATGTTGATTTCTTCGTTCTCTGATTGATTTTGGTTGCTTTTGCTGATGGATAGTGGTGGTTGAATTTCCTAGATTCCTGTTTCTATTCGTTTTTACTTATCTTTGAGCATCTTGTAAGTATACTGTGTTTATATCTATGAAAACGTGCTTTTGACACATACCCTGCTTTCTTCTTCGTCTGTTTTCTTGGTACCTCAATCCCGAAACAAGCTATGAATTGCTGGATAGTGAAGGTTGATTCTGCTGTTATAGATATATATATAAAATAAAAAAAAAATCTGAGTTGTCATGCGAAGTGCAAAACAACGCTCAGATTATTATATTAATTAGTGGAAACATGCTTCACGATTGGCGCTAGGTTTAAGATATCACTGCAGTGCTATATATTCATTCATTAGTTTTCAGAATTTAGGAAGGTAACGGTGATTAGCTGCACTTCAGCTGCTGGTGATTTTCCTTTTTAGATTATGGCTTTTGTGTGGATTATTATGTTTGACTATATTTTCAGTTGGTTGGACCTTAACTTTACCCATCATCATAGCCTAAAAATCTTGAGTCTACGCAAATCAGAAGATAGCTTACAAATTTTCTATTTATTAGCTACATCTTCTATCCGTTCTGTTTTTTTTTTTATCTTAGCTATTGTTGTACGTATACTTGACCATGAGGAAACTTTTAAACAAATCATTGTTTGAATTTAGATATATACTTGACCATAATCATTTATTATTATTGCTTGGAGCCTTAAAATGTTACTCCAGGATGTACTACGGATTATAAATAGGCATTGCCTTGTTTCTATGGCAGTCTTTTGCATTCAATATAAATAAAATTTTGTGTCCATACCCCAGTAAAGCAATATAACCGTAACTTTGCCATCCAAATGCAGGAAGAACAGCAAAGGGCCGTGGTTAATGAAATGGTGGCAAAGGTGACAAGTGAATGTTGGGACAAATGCATCACGGGTACACCTGGGAATAAGTTCAGTTCCAGTGAATCTTCGTGTCTTTCAAACTGTGCACAGCGGTACATGGAGATGAGCATGCTTGTCATGAAAAGGTTTCAGAGTATGCAATGAAGATCTAAGGCCATCGATATTCTTCTCATTTTACAAAACTAGTCTTCAACTTCTCTTTTTGCACAATCATCAACCATAGAGCATCATATATTATTTAGCAATATTTCGGATTAATTTATTTTTTTTGAAACTGTTGTGTTAGAATATTTACTTTGCTTTTTGACATTCCTGAAATTTACAGGAAAAAAAACTTAGTTCCTATGGTGAATAACTTATAGCTTGTGTGACTGTAGAGTGGGTGGATCGGAAGCGGTTTGCAATTTTAAATTGTCTAGCAAGCAAAAACAATTTATTCATGTGCGAAAAATGTTATTTCTAAATGTGTGTTTCCCCCCATTTTAAAAGACAAACGGAATTCTATGATAGTGTTACAATACATTGTCATCTTAGCATGGGTCCCGCTGGAGGCATCATGCAATTCATTAAAAAATGGTGTTAAATTTATTAATATTTTCTTTGGGGGATGGGGAGATAATTCGCGCAAGGTGAGTTTATTTTAAAGCTGTTATTTGTTACAATTAGTAATATGAGGGAACTACTATTTGCATATATAATGAAATTTATTTCCTATTTTCTGGACAAATTTTTTATGGGTTATGTTTATATCATTTTATATGAGATAAACAATTTTTCTATTCACACAAAAAGGAGTTGAGTTTCGTCACTTTTTTTTCTCTCCTCTTACTTGTGGGTCTTATTTATACTTTTATTTCTACAACATGAAATAATTTCTTTCCTACAACATAAGAAAAATATATCCCATTTTTTATTGTTGACTTTTGTGAATCTTCATAATGTATGGCAGTTTAATCAGAATGGTAAATTGAATATGTACACGAGTGAAACTTCTTAATCTTGAACTACAATTATCAACCTAAGCAATTAAATACTTTCTCTTCCTACCTTGAAGGCCCAAAAAAAATAAAGCTTTACATCCTATCGCTCGAATTGCAATTTTGTTCGTTCCCCATCTCCGTGGCTTTGGCTACTCGTCTGCTTAGAATCTTATCAGCATTCGGTCCCTTCTCGTAGTACTGAAGCATGGACTCAGCCCATTGGAGGAGCCTAGTGTAGGAACTGGAAGGGAAACGAAAGTGAGGGACCGGTGCATATTTATGGAACTCATTCTTGTCCAACCTTTGACCATACTCCTTGATGGTTAAGGCAAAACCAATGCGATTGGTCAACTTACGTTGGTAATACACCATAGCATAAAGGCGAGGGAGACGAAGCTTCTGTGTCCAGTACGTTATTTGGAATAGTGGGCTGTTGATTATCTCATGGGATTGCTTGTTTAGGATACTGAAACGTGGGAGCACTTCTGGAGGGAGACGTAGAAAGATTTCGAAGAGAATATCATTGCACAATTCCACTGGTGGAGGAGGAGAGGAAGAAGGACAAGAAGTTTGGAAGAGGAATTCCATGAATTCCACAATACATTTCCAGCATCTGAATATCGGCATTTTGTTTTCGTTTTTTTTACCCCTTCAAGAATCGGTATTCTATTGCACTAGCCAATTACCTTAAAAAAAACATGGACTTGAATGGGGGTTTGTTGAAACGGAGGGATGTGGCTTTTATTTTACTGCTTGTTATGAGCTATGCGCGATGTGGAGGTCAAACGTTTAGTAAGGAGACAAACACGGCATGCCAGAATCATGCAGCATTCTCATAATTTGTAGCATGACACACATTGCCATTAGAATTTATTAACCTTTACCTTTTTAATGAGATAGGGCCGGATTACAATAAATAATAAATGTATAAAAAATAAAAGTAAAGAAGCCATAACAACAACAATAATAATCTTTACCCAAAAAAGTTATTCTCGTGTTGTCCATATTCATATTAAGGCTTTTTTTTTACCATTTTAATGTGAATTTCCAAAATATTTACCGATTTAAGTCTTTTGATGAACTATTTACCAATCAAACACAAAAAAGATGTGCATTACGGCAATCCTAGTTCATGTTGTGCATTATCCCTATGCACAACGTATGTAAAAACTGGTGCAGGCTATTTATCCTGCTCTGCAAGTCGCGCATGAGGGCATACACAACTTAAACATGCATGAGCGTAATACGCATATCGCAGAGCATGACATGTGGCAAGAGCGCGCTGACTTTTGCATATGTCATGTATGGGATGATATGCGACTTTAATTTTCGTTATGCTTTATAAGAGATAATGTGAAGTTAATTATAACGAAATTAAATGTGTGCGTGATCCATTAATGTTGAAATCCCATGACAAGAATCAACGTGGGCCCATATTCTAATGCATTATTATTTAATAAGAACAAGCTTATGTAAAGCAATTCAATTTGGAAGGCAATTATCTTAGGGGCAGGATATACTTACAACCAAAGAAGTTTACCATCTTTACAATCAATCTAATCATCGTTGATTTCCGTCAATTTAACGGTTATCATTTATTGAAATTAATAATTAATTAATAAATGCGACCCAATAATTTCTAATAAATTATAACCGTTAGATTGACGAAAATCTACGGTGATTAGGTTGGTTGTAAAGGTTGTAAATTTTTTTGGTGGTAAATATATCCTTTCCCATTATCCTAACCGATAATTAGGGTTGAGTTAATTCAAAAATAAATAAATAAAAATTCAATTGGATTCCTTTATCTTTTTTCTTGGATCGAAGAAAATAGAATAATAACTAAATATTTGACCTACCAAAAAATATAATTTGATTAAGAAAAAAAAATGATTTAATATTTGCATTTGGATGATGAAGCTCCCAAATACGCTTGTATTTCTGTTTGGAATAACTCAGATGGTGATCTATTTCATATATAGAAATGCCAAGACAGCGGCACCGCCGGCATGGGATGAGGCAGTAAAGCAGCAGTAACTAAACGGACATGTCATTGACTTTGTGACACTGAGCACAATGGTTCCCTACGATCCGAATGATATATAGCTAAAGGTGCTGCTGTGACTGTGACAGCTGTTGAGGATCCAATTGGAAAAGAAGAAACAGGAAAGGGTAATGATACGATAATAGGAACCCTTACAAGTTAGTTAGAATGGTTAGGGAATAGTTTACAGGTTGGTTGTCACAAAAGAGATTAGGAAGTTGCTGCTAATACAATAATACACTGCATATAGGTGATAGTTATAAATAGATATGTTGTAATTTGAAATGGGTATCAGAAGAATAATTAAGAATAGTTTTTAGTTTCTTTCTACCAGTTCTCTGTTTCTCTGCTTGTTGAGGTGCTGCACCTATAAAAGGTAACCATGATAACATGGACTCAGCTGGCAAGGTGTGATTAATTAACCTATGAAAAAATCCAAAGAAGAAAAGAAACGAGTTCCAAAATAATTTATCCTAAAAGAGCAATCACTTTAGTTTGCCAAGTGAGGCCTCATCTCCTTTCACTCATATCATGGAAATGCAATTGATTAATGTATTTGCATGAATGGGTGTAGCTGTAATTTTCAGTGACTCAATTATGTTATGATGCTTAGCGTCTCTTTTTGGCCATGTAGGAAAGGAGTGAGACTCATATATCATTAACCATAAAAGAGTGTGCATAATACATCCTATTAAATACATCACTTTTTCCTCATCTACTTTTCTAGCTTTTTCCCCCTACTGAGAAAATATTCCAATTTTTTTTGTAATTTCAATTTACATCTTTTAAATTTTTTGAAATTATGGAGTCACTTTTATAGACTATGAAATGAAGCTATGTCCCACTTTCCGCCGGTTCCTTCCCACGAGTGTCTATGAAATGAAGCAACTTGTGTCTCTCCCCCTTCCTTGTGATGTACCCTGCTTAAATCCACTGACATATCAGCTAATCCATTACCCTTGCCAAGTTCCTCATCATTGATAAACCTCTCTTTATTATAATCACTCTCCTCCTCCTCAACCTCATTGTGAACTTGGTTGTCTGCTGTTTTTCTCATCATAGGACTACCCTTTCTTCGAGATGAATCTAGTGGTTCCTTTGGGATTGGAACCTTAGACCTGAAATTGATCTTGGATGGAGGAATGACAGAGCAGAAGATCTCTTTAAAGTTCTCAACTACCCCTTTGTTATAAGGGTTGGCTTGTCTATTGTACCGGTATCTAAAATTTTCATAAGTAGACTGCACATAAAACAATAAGAATTATCATTAAAGTATGTAAGAAAACCAAATTAGAAATGCACATAAGTGTTACTAGATGAAATATACCTATCCTTATATTTAGCAGTTTATTCTACACTAAAGTTCTAATCTAGAATGCAGGGGTGATTGCAAACAACCAGGATTAGTAAAAAAAAAAGTAGGGTCAGATTTAAGGTTTAAAGGGATTAAAAGTAAAGTGGTGTTCAAACCTGGTTTGTGCTGATTAGATACGTATGGAAAGCGGTGAGGCCACCAACAAACCAGACAGAAATGAAAGTGTATATTATTAGTGCAATAGAAGCTGGGGTTTTTATCATTGCTTTCCAAATTGATATCTCCTCCGAGTCCATGATCTTCTTAATGTAGACCCAGCAGAAGCCATGAACATATAAGCAAAGAAGGGTAGCAGAGAAAACAAACATGTAGTAGAACCGGTAATTTCGCTGCGCCAGGTACATATAAGCAGAGAGTCAAAAAAATGTTCTGACTAAGCAACTTCATCATCATAGCTACTAAAAATATAATTGTTTGTTATTAATTGTGTTTGACTGTTTGTCCTTGCGCTTGTGTCATTGGAAGGTGACATTTGGGCATGAAAGCAGAGAATACTAATATTCATGCAAAGAATCCACCATTGAGAATTTGTTTATGTATACAAGGAAAAAATGTATTCATATGATCATCATACAAACAATGAAACAAATACTAAGAATTTCAACAGACCAACAAAACTTATTCAAATATCCACAGAGGGAGCTCAAGGTATGATTCTATTCTATATATGAGCCATTCCTATCCCTATTTTTGACGCAATTTCTGTTGTTTCAACCAACATTTAATTTTAAGAACTACATAATGCTTTCCCTCAACAGACTACCGAAATTCTAAGTTTTCTGCCACCAAGTATTAAAGATATGTACAGGTAGTATAGTCTCTAAAAGCAGTATAATCTGTATAGACATGCCAGCGCCTAGTGCCTACCCCCTTTCAATAGTAATTTTGATTATATTGAAATCTATTTCTAATTTGTAGGAGAGTGCAAGCATTTGAACACAGTGAATTGAGAGTTTATATATCCCACTAAATTTATTTGTTTGGGGATTTCATAATTGCGCAAAAAGAAGATTTTATGCAATTGTTGTACTGTAAAACAGAAAACAGACGACAAATTAAAAGGAAAGCAAAAAAAAATTGCTCTTCTAAATCATAATATGATGATAAAAAAAGACTCAGATGGTGCCTTTTGAATACCATCACTTTGAAATTGGGATATATAATACTAATGCTATATTAAAGAATGACCATTACCAATCCAATGCACTGACCCAGCCATGGGCAGTGATGATCAAATCGCTCCACGCAGTTGTCACATACTGAACAATGAGAACTGCGGGGAGGTCTATACAGCATACAGGTATCACAATATTTGATTTTCACAGATATTCCATTGACAATTACTTCCTTTGCTCGTGGCAAATGTAGCCGTGAGCTTTGTTCATTGTTGATTTCGGTGCTGCGATCATAATCATCTGGCAATGGAGGATAAGCATTACGAGGCACTATACCCGGATCTCTTCCTGATGTCAGTACAAGGGTGATCAGAACCTGGGAATACGTTTTCAGACTTTAAGATTACAGAGGTGAATGAGAAACATTGGTTCTAACAGATTTAAATAACTTATTTGAAAAAGTAATCTATACCCGACTTTGAAATCATATATTTAAGCATCAAGTTCTGTTAGTTTTAGTATAAAAACCACGTCGCATTAAATCCTGACTAGCGAGAGTAGGGATGAGGGCAATCATTGTATGCAGCTTTACCTTTGCATATTTGCAAAGAGACTGTTTCTCGAATTTGAACCCCTAATCTTCCAGTCACAAAGAATCAATTTTACCACTATTCCAGGCTCACCCTCTTGTTCTGTTCATTTTTAGTATGACAAGAATAAAAAATAATCAATGGCCCTCTAGAATTTGTATGACAATGAACGTATCAGAGCTGCAAATAAGTGATTATAACTTTATTCAACTACGAAAAACTTCTGTATGAAAACTAAATTCTAGTGTTCAGATAACTTTCTTGTATGGCTAGTTTAGAAAGCAATACACAAGATTTTAATCTGATTATTATATCAGAACCTAAGACATTCTGCTCCACTTCAAAGAGATCCTCCCTGGCTCCCTCTTCCCATTCCTTCTCCCTTCAATTCCCACCCTCCTTCTCTCTTCCCCCACAAATCAATACCAAATTCTGTCTCCAATTGGCATTTGTGTCACAGGCTGGCAGCATGTTTTTTAACATAAGAAATCCATATGGTTCTTGAAATCATTTAGGAATCTTAGCAGCATCAAGATATAATCTCTAGAAAAGTAACTTATATAGAGCAAAATATGCAAGCTATCAGAACTCAGAATAATGTGAAATTTTGCGATTGTGCAAGGTGGCCACTTTATCTATATGTATCTTGAAGCATGATAGCCATAGTGATTCACATATAAAAGGAGAATATTATGATTACTAGAACATAATATTAGGGGACAAGAGCAATGGCTGAGCATATTAAAACAAATCATGGTATCATCAATTCATGAATGAGGCTAAATTTTTTACGAATAAAAATTACTTACAAACATTGTGTGAACAATAACTACGATCAGTATCGAATATCCCGAGTGATGAGGAAAATCATCCAACAGTTTCCTAGCCACTAAAGCACAGAAAACAGCAACAGGGGCAACTATAAGAAATATTGTCATAAATATAGATTTCACATCAGGTCCAAATATAAGCCTCCCTTGAAGAAAAAATTCCTGAAAAAAAGAGAAAAATCCACGAATTCAATATACAACAGAACACTGCATCAAAACAATACAAAAACTTGACACAAAAAATGCATTCAAGTTCCAATATAGACATGTATAAAATGATTGTGCAAGAAGAGGAATAATATAACTCAATATCTAGCTGATATATAAAGCTAAGTTAGAACCCCAAGATAACTATTAACTATAACAACCCAGAAACAGTCACATGCAGAAACAAAAGTTCAGAATTGAACACATGTAGAAGAAACTCCAGAAGGGTAATTGAGTTCAAAAGTGAACATTGATATTATTGTTAACTTACATTATTTCCTTTCCAAGCGCGGTATGTTCTGACCAGCGAAGGACCACCAGTATCTCCGGCACCGTCACAGTCATTTTTCGCCGGCGCCGGCGCCGGAGGCTGCACTGCGTCCATTGCTTTAGACTTGTTATGTGAATGAACAATCAAAATAACTATAAAGACAAAACAACTATATGTCAAAGGGAAAGACGGCTTTTTCTCTCTCTCTCTCTTTTTTTTTTTTTTTTTTTTAAAGTTACAGAATAAAATATAAAAAAATTATTGCAAAAGTCAAAAGGAATGGTTCAGCTTCGGTGTTAGGTTGTTTTTGTTCACTTTGGCAGATTCTGTGTTATTGTTGAACGGCCGGACGATTAAACTCTAGAAAAAAAAAAAAAAAAAACTGTGGTCAAGTCAAATAAAATATATTTTTAATTAATTAATTAATTAAATATATTTGTTTAATTAATACAGCATGCCAAATTTAATTTTTAAAACTCAAATCTGACCTAATTAATTTTGAGTTATAATTGTGCGGGTTTTAAAGACTTTCTGACCGATTCCAATGAATATTTTAAGTATAAAATGATTCTCATTTACGAGGTATGAAATAGAATATTGTTATATAAGTTGAAGAAAGAATTATGCATATTTGATGAATAGATTAACATTTATTTGTTTTCTTAAATTTTAAAATAAGTATAATGTATTAGCACCTGTTTGATTTGATGTATAAGGTTTGATATAGTATATGTTTATACAGTATGATACTTTAATACATCAAAAGTGATGTACTTAATCAAGTCTAAAGGGGTGAGATTAAACCTGATAAGAGATGATGTATTAAATTAAACTTTTTCTATTTTTTTCTTCCCTCGTCTACCCTTTTCCATGTAACCCACCATCGCAACCTCTCCCCATCCTCGCCCTCCCCCCTCATTCAACCAAAATTAGCCGTTGTCGTCACACCATCAGCATCAGCCATAGAAATTGGACCATAAACATTTTTCATTTATTTATTTACTTACTTATATTTAGCATTTTGATGGTTGAAGCTTTTTGAACGAATGTCATTGATTATTGTTATCTTCTTCATGATTTACAAATTCCATTCTCTCGCCCTACCTCCGTTTATTGTGATAATCAATCCGCCATTTACCTGGCTCATAACCCCGTCTTCCATGAAGGATCCAAGCATATTGAGCTTTTTGAGTGTCACATAACTTGTGAGAAAATCCAAGCTGGACTATTGCACTTGCTGCCTTTAGCCTCTTCCATGCAACTCGCAGACGTGTTTACTAAAGCCCTTCACCCTCCTTCCTTCCTTGACCTTGCCTCTCACTTGGGTTTTTCTGATACAGTTGTTCAAGATGCAGTAACTTCAGCTAATTTATGCATGTGATTTTCACTAATTCTTGAAGTTGTTAAGGTGGTTAGCAAATAAGTTATTCAATTGTAAGTGATAGCTTGTTACCTTTTCTTCTGTTAGTATTTAGCTTGTTGAGTTAGCATATTTTCTTTTCCTTTCGCTGTTGTATATAAAGCCACGTTGGCTGATAGTGTACATTAATTCATTCTTCATTTTCCTTAATATTCAATCAAGTAAATTTTCACAAGTCCCTTGGCGGGTTTGGTATGAGTATTTGGTATGGAAAGATGGGAAACTCGGGTAAAAAATATTTATTTATCATGTTTGTTATGAGTATTATGAACAAAATATCAACAATTTTTTTCCTAGTAAACCACTCTTGAACTACACAAAGGCAAAAAAATTTCCCACCCAACCTTTGGTAATTTTTTTCCTTGGTCTTTGGATTCTGAAAAAGTAACATTTGATTCAATTTTCCCTAAAAAAAACAACATTTGATGATGATTCACTTTTTATATTCAAAAAATTAAGGGTATTTTGATAATTTCCATTCACATTTTTATCAATATTTTACCATCAACCAAATATAGCATAAGTAAAATTAGCCCAACTTTTCCGGCAAAATTTTAGCCAACCAAACATTTTTTTGTAACTTATTTGAGATAAAAAAATTCCTACCAAATCCTCAACAATCTTTTTTTTTCGATAAAAAAAATATCTCTTATACCAAACGTCCCTTAGATTATGAAATGTTTCTCATGCTATTCTTTTTGACCTACTAAAGATATGGTTTCAAATATAATATATGGAAAATACTATTCTCCTTTTGTAGTAAAACAGTGTTTTAGTCCTGCGTATAGAAAAAAGTAAGAGAGAAGAAAGAGATTAAGATGAGAGAGAAAGTATGACATCGGACCCATCCAATTTTACTATCTATAGGAATACTATTCCTTTTTACTGCTGAAGAAGAACATCATTTCCCATAATATATTTGGGTTTGTTTGATTCAATAAAAAATTAATATTAAATTATTTATGGTAAGAATTAAATACTAACCTTTTTAATATTTAAAATAATGTCTAAAGGTGTTATTATATTAAATTTAATATATATATATATATATATAGTTTGGATATCCAATTTTTTGCCTAGGATTTTGTAAATCAAGAAAATAAAAATAAAAATAAAAAAAATAAAAAAGTGATAATAAGAAAGAAATTAAAAAAGAGAATAGTCCACACCAAAAAAAAAAAAAAAAGAGAATAGAAGAGGAAATAATAAAAGTCATTACCCATGCTTTTTCTCATAAAATCCTAAAAAAATTAATTTTTCTTTTTAAATTTTAGTCCTAGTTACCCCTTTTTCCTTTCCCCCGTATTTTTCTATATAAAGAGTCCCTTTCCGTTCACTTATGTCAAAAAAATCCTCTTCCAAAAAAATAAAATAAAAAAATTCCTCTTCCCCCGCTTTAGATGTCTATTGATTCTTTTGTTTTGTTTTTCTAGTTTATTATTTTATAAAACAAATATAAAAATTATTTTTATTAAATCATTGGAATTATAGAATCTAGAATTTTAGATCTTAAAAATTATTTCAATAAAATAGTGAGAAGCATTTGAAATTGCAACTCATTTTTTATATTATATATAAGGTGATAATGTAAGTTATACTCAAATAAAAAATATAGTTATACTCATTTTTAAGACATTCCATTGTGCCTACTTCTATTTTACCTACTTTTGCCTACCACTTTCGTTATCGTTCGATTACCATCTCATCCAACGATCTATATTTGTGATATAAAATAAACCTTTTTTTTCTCTTTCTTTCTTCTCACTTTCTCCCATACCCTTTCTCTCTCCTCTCCTTTCTCTCTTCCTCTACACCATACCTAATTTTTTTCCCTTCTGCCGCCGTGGACCTCAATCTCCTGACAAACTATTCGATTCTAAGGATATTTTTAATCTTTATAAAATAATACGATTGAATCGATGACTAACAAAGAAGTTTTGATGTGATTCAAAGCGACGGTCGATCTGTTCACAGAATCCTCCTTGTCTCTGCTTCAATATGTCGATCTGTTCTTCCACATGATAGATTCTCTTAATTTCTAATAATTAATTGGCTATCCGTATCAACATAATTGCTGGAATGGCACCAATTAACCCTCTTTCCGGATTTTTCCAATATCAATTTTTTTATTCTTTAATTTTTTATTTATTTTGAATCTTTTCCAACTCTGCACAGATCTTTTGAATCACATTAAAACTTCTTTGTTAGTCATCGATTCAATCTTATTAATTTATAAAGTTTATGTTGTTCTTCATATCTAAAAATTTGTTGTGATTTTTCAATCCATTGACACTGGTAGTTTGATAGAAACTTATTCAGAAGGAGAAAATTTATATTACAATAATAAAAACAGAGACTAATGTATATTGGCGATGATTTCAAATGTTGTGGTAATGATTTCAAATGCTTCCCGTTCACTTGGGCAGAGATTAACGATAAAGGGAACAAAATAGGTATATGGCAGAGGAAGAGAGGAAGCGGAGAAGAGAAAAAGGGTATGGGAGAAAGTGAGAAGAAAGAAAGGGAAAAAAAAGTTTATTTTATATCACAAATATGGATTGTTGGATGAGATGGTAATCGAACGGTAACGAAAGGGGTAGGCAAAAGTAGGTAAAATAGGAGTAGGCACAATAACCTATCCCATATATATATATCAATTTATAATTTTTTATAATGAGTTCCTTACATGAAAAATTATTTCTAATCAAATTAATTCTATATATCTTAATAATTCCTAACACAATGATCATTTTAAACGTATGTATTTTTTATTTTTTTTGGTGTCTAAACGTATGTTTTATTTGCTAATCAAAGTCCTAACTACGACTTCTGTCTTTTTGATTTTTTTTCCTCAACAAACTTCGATCTCAGCACAAATTTCCTTTTAATTTTAAGTACTATATTAATTTATTGTTTACGATTTCGTAATACATATATCTCTTCTGTTTAATTTTTTTTCTTTCTAAACACAGGTTTCATCATTTGTTTAATTCAACAGTTAAAATTATAAATATATCTTTGAAAAGATTTTAAAATTCAAAGGATGTTGGTACTATTAAATCATAATCTTTTTAATGTATTTTTCATATCAACTTATGTTCGTTTTACTATTTTTGTTTTTGTAGTTTGGGTCAACAGGGCCATCAGGTGTGGATATATAGAACGAGGTCGGCCTGAGCATGAAATGCAAAAAGGCCCAATGTGCTCATTGAGAAACAACGAAATCTTGGAATCATCACCTACATGAACTACCCACACACATTTTTTGTTGTTGTTTGTTGCTTCGGGAACAGTGATCATTTTGTCACGTGTGGCAAAAAAATTATCGGACTGTCACGCCAACAGTAAATTTTGCCAAAATGTCACGCGGCATATTTCGTGACACTGTGTAGCGAAATATGTTTGCATATAATTCGCTACACAGTGTAGCGAAATATGCCATGTCAGGCTGCACAGTCAGCAAAAATGACACGTGTCAAGCAGGCAGAATTCAAGCATAATTCGCTACACATTGTAGCGAATTTCTACCTGCTTGACACGTGTCATTTTTGCTGACTGTGCAGCCTGACATGACATATTTCGCTACACTGTGTAGCGAATTATATGCAAACATGTTTCGCTACACAGTATAGCGAAATATGCCGCGTGACATTTTGACAAAATTTATTGTTGGCGTGACAGTCTTGTAAATTTTTTTGCAA